GAAAACGCTATCAGACTGCACTGATAAGGCCTGTTCTTTTTGGCTGAACTTTTGCACCAGTTCATCTTTTTTTTTTCCTTTTCTATCCGGAAGGAAAGAAGAGGAAAGAAAGATGAATTGGTGCAAAAGTTCAGCCAAAAAGAACAGGCCTATAGAAAATTGTACTAGTGCAAGATATAAAAGAACGTACCAGTACAGTAACTAATATAGGAATATCACGTAGTTCTTGTAGACAACTCGAGCGGGTCGGACGTGTTCCCTCTCGTCTCGGGTGTTGCGTCACCTCGACTATATTTTTGAAAAGCGTTGCCGGCTTGGACTGTGCCTTTGTATTTCAATTTCGATAGTTCCTTTATCCGTCTTGGCGCGCGGCCGTGTGGCGTGGAAGCGTCGCAGCCGCAGGCGTCCAGTGTTTGAAGGGGCGCCTCACCCTTTTTTATTGCATCACCCATTACTCGCCCGGTTCGAGGTGACCGGTGCATAGCACCCCCAATCACGATTAGCTCAATTACGAAGACCTCAATGGCCCAGTACCAGCCTGTCTAGGCTGCGGGGCCAATAACAGAAGAAAAAGAAGAAGAAGGAATATCACGTAATGAATCGTGATATTCTTTATATGTTTGAATTATTTAATTCTTCGGACGAAGAACACATAATTGTACCGCCACTATTAGAATCACCAATAATAGTTGAAAATAACGATGGTAACATATAATTTAATGACAAACTCATTATTAAAGACTTATCATAAATAATAAATGATTATAACTTATAATAAATATTATAAGTAAATATTATGATTATGACTTATAATAAATGAGTAAATATTATGATAAATATTATGATGATATTATAGTAAATATTATGATTAAATATTATGATTATGACCTATAATAAATGAGTAAATATTATGATTATGATTTATAAATATTATGAATAAAAATCTTTCAATGCCTATTAGAGCCGACACAGGATATTATGTGTAATAATCAATTTATTAATGAACAATAAAATTATATAATTATGATATCAGGTAAACGTTTCGACCCTATTATTTGGGTCCTTTTCAGTACCAAGAAAATACAATAATTCTATAAATATATGTGTTGAGTAACTACGAGGTCTGTCCGGAAAGTATCGGGCCTACCTTTATATTTCCGCGCCATAGTGTTCGAGCGACCTCTGCGGGGCATAAA